TTCAAAAGAAAAAGAAATCACTTTTACTTGTATAAAGTGCAACTCATTCAAAAATTTGCATTTTGAATGTCTTGAAATCACACAGAATATTCATAACTTCCTCACATTTTCCAGCAGTAACTGTAAGAAACATTAGTCTTATAGCCCAATAATTTGGCAGATAATCTGGCTTTAATCAAAACTCTGGCTTGTGGAAGAGTTACTTATATATTTAAAGATTATATAAAACTCCTAATTCATTGGTAATTATTATATTTTCTGACAAAACATTGGAAAAAGTTTCCAAAGATTAATAGTTTGACTATATCATTAGCAATCCATTTATCTTTTCTGGTGATTTGTACTTTACTTGATTTATATCTGGTTAACAGACTTTTTCTGTATTTTAAGTACAGTGCACTCATGCTAATCTAATTATTGTACAGGATTTTTTTAATTAATGAAAAATTCAAATTAGTGGGGAGAGTTGTATATAAAGAAAAAGAAGTTGTAAAGAACTAAATACAAATATGCATATTTAAAAATATACAATATTTGGCTTATTTATATTATAATGTATAGTATATATAGTATATATTGGGTTGTCCGGAAAGTTCGTGCTAGTGTTGCCACCTTTTCAAAATCGCTGACCTGGACGGCAGGTGAGGTTTGTTCAAACAGAAGTTCCTGACACATGCTCAATGTCATTTTGCAGTGGGAAGAATAATGTGCAGTGCATGCCAGTTCTAAATCAGTTACAGTTAGGGACTAGGGAGACTTGGGTAGGAGTAATGTAAGTAACTTAAATTAAGAAAAACAACTACAGATGGCGTAGCTCTATTGGATATTGGAGACGTGTACGAATATGAATCGTACAAGCAAAAAAAAAAAAAAAAGGTTGACAGGTTGGGCATGATATTCCCGGACCAAATTAATAGTTCATCTGGACAGTGAGTCGATTTCCAGACTATCTGGGTGAAAACTGGATGGGTGGTAACACTAGTTCGTGCTGATTTTTGGTAGGTGGCATAAGGACAGGTCTGAACATGTCAGAACAATTGAAAACAAATGACATGCATACATATTGTAAAAGACATATATACTTCAAATACACTTCAAGCATATTTGGGAAAAAATTTGGTCATGATACATTAATTTTTGTCAGTTTTATACGCCTTTGAATATGGAAGAAAACAAAGTGCACTTTAGGCATTTAATGCTTTTCTTTTACTGGAAAGGCAAAAATGCCACACAAGTGGCAAACATATGCGCTGTTTATGGCAAAGGTGCTGTAGCTGAAAGAACTGTGCGGAAGTGGTTTGCTAGGTTTAAAGCTGGTGATTTCAACCTTAAAGATCAAGAACGCCTAGGTAGGCTCTCTACCACAGATGAAGATCAGATTAAAATACTGATCGAGAATAACCCATGCTATACAGCACGTAAATTAGTAGAAATGTTAAATATGTCAAAATCTACCATCCACGAGTATTTTGTGAAGCTTGGCTACATAAACTGTTTTGATGTATGGGTTCCCCACAATTTAACGGAGAAAAATCTGATGGATTGCATTTCCATTTGTGACTTGCTCTATAAACGCAACGAGGAGACATTGTTTTTGAAGCAAGTAGTGATGGGGGATGAAAAATGGATCATTTATAATAATGTTGAATGAAAAAGATCTTGGGGAAAGTTGAATGAACCACCTTTAGCCACCCCAAGAGCTGGTCTTCATCCAAAGATCATCATGCTCTGTGTCTGGTGGGATTGGAAAGGGATCCTGTATTATGAGCTTTTACCAAACAACGAGACGATAAATTCAGAGAAGTATTGTTCCCAATTAGATGAATTAAAGACAGCAATTGAACAAAAAGTCCAGAAATAGTGAGTCAGAAGGCTGTCATGTTTCATCAGGACAATGCACGGTCTCATGTGTCTTTGATAACTCGACAAAAGTTTTTGGTGCTTGGTTGGGATCTTCTACCCCATCCACCATATTCGACAGATTTTGCACCCTCTGATTTTCACCTATTTCGATCATTACAAAATTCCCTTAATGGGAAAAACTTCAACTCTTTGGTCGAGATAAAAAATCACGTAGAAAAGGACAGGATTTTCAAGTTGCCTGAAAGATGGAGAAAGGTTGTAGAACAGAATGGCACCTATATAATTTAATAAATGTGTACTAAAATTTAAATCTCCTGTGTTTCAATTTTCCTTCAAAATCGGCACAAACTCTCCGGACAACCCAATATTATAGTATATACTATACTATAATATATACTATAATATTGGGTTGTCCATTTGGTTATTAACCACTTGCCGCACGAATGCTTTTAAAGGAATTTTTAATTAAACATAAAAAATACTTAAAACTGAAAAAAAACACGAAAGAAATGCGTTAATTTTGAAGAAAAAGCTTCAAATTTTATTTTCCATTGTCTCGCTTTTCTGCAAAATTTGACATCGATGAGTCATTGTTTACACAGCTGGATGACCTTGAGAACAGCTGGTGTCCTATTTCCTGGGACATTCTCATAGACGTCTCGGGAGGAGAAGGGTTTAAAGTAGGGTGAATACTAGCTAGACCTATGTTTTTAAATATTTTTAAAAAATTAAAATTTTTATTACGATTTTCGACCCCCCAACTTAATTAAACTTATGTATAATAAAATATATTAATTAAAAAAATTAAAAAACTATTGGAGATTAGTTTTTGACATCAGAAAGTAGCTTTAAATAACTTTAATGAAGTCAAATCCATGCACTACAACTTTAGAACGATTAATTAATTTTGATAAAAAAATCCCATTAAAAACAATTAAGCCTTAATCGAGCCTTATCAAAGGCTAATTAAAATCGCAATAAAACTTTTTTGCACGGGTAAAAATTTTTGAAAAAATTTGGAGACTTAAAAAACATTCCAAAAATTTTTAAAAAAATTTGGGGGGCTGAAAAGACTGCATTTTCTGTAACGCTATGTAACATGCCCGAGTTAACTCGGGACTGGGCGTTAAGGGGTTTGGGATGGGTTAATATTGGGTTGGGTTATTAATTTTACAAATTTTTCATTTTTTATAAAGTAATCTATAAATTTTTTAAAATTTTGGCTTGAACATTAGTGGAAAAATAAATTTGGTGTGGATTAGAAAGAATGCACTGTAGTGTATTTATTTTATGACATTTTTTTATACATTTAAACTTTTGATAATACAGTGAGCTGCCAATAACAATGACTCCAAACAGTGGCTACTTTTCAGGAACATTTTTATTTGGACAAAAATGCATACAAAATAACCTCCAAACAATGGTCATTTCTAACAATGCCCTGAACTTCTAAAAAACTTATCTTTAATCCTTTCACAATGGCCACTGTCCTCAAAATGATATAGAAATGTGAGGACCCGAACAGGGGTCGATTGAGAGGTCTGAATTATGGGTGTCGATTTAAAATAAAGAGCTCCTTTTCAGACGCTAAGGAAACGGATTAGGTGTCTCGATTGAAAAATGCAATTGTTTTTTTTTTTCATAAATTTGTTAAACAATGGAAATGGATAAATTCGAGGAAAACGCGACGAGAGAGAGGAATCATATTCAGTCGCAATGTTGACCTCTCCCGCGCCCTTCATTAGGTTTTGAATTGTCACCAGGTGACTATGAGAGACCAATGGAGAGGCGACGACGGTTAAGAAATCTATAAAACCGTGCGACGCAAGGGACAAAGGTTCTTGGTGCTCCTCTTTAGGATTTTTGTGATCCTACTTATCAACAGCGACCGATTCGTCAACTCCTGTGACTTACTGTCGCTCTCCCGTGACGTCTTGATTTGCACAGATTTGCCTTTCACCAGAGACTTTCGCTGAAGCTGTGCCGCATGCCCCGGGGCAGTCGATCTCAACGTACGACATTGAAGGACCAAACGGAGAAAGTCGGACCCTTGAAGGAACTTTTAATTTGTTCCCCAAGCTGTGTTATGTTGAAAATTTGAAGAACGTTGTAAGAATCTTTTGTAATATAATAAACGGGTTAAAAATGGTAAACCTGTCTCAGAAAGTCATTCTGCGCCCACACGACAGAAAGAACCGTTCGGCTGTCGAAAAACCTCACCCTAATCGGCTGACCTCACAGAAATAATAATGCATTGTATAAAATTAGTCATTATTGATAAGGTGGCTAGTTTTGGATACTGGTTTATTTGTGGGGTTAATAAAATTGGCATAAAAAAAAAACTTTTCTTTAAAAAAATCAAGGATTAATTAAGTTTAACATTTTAGACAATTGTGAAAAATTTTGCACAAAAGTTCATCTTGAACGTGCAGAAAACTTAAAAACACAAATGTAAATCAATCATTTATTGTAGGCTATGACTTCTGTTAAAATATGTAAAGAAGGAACATTATCCTCTTCTGACAGTGATGATTAAAAAATTTCAACACCAAGGACTAACAATGTTTTAGATGTTTTTTAAAAAAGAATTTGGAGAAATTTTTAAATTATTATCACTGGCATAAGACACTGTTCTTTTTTTTTACTTATTTCAATATAGGTTCTAGCCTTCAATAAAAGACTGATGTGTGTTTTTTTAGGTGTTTTCTGCACATTCAAAAAAGACTTCTGGTACAAAGTTTTTTTGTGATTTTAGTATAATGTTAAAGCTAACGAATTACACTTTCCTTCAAGTATTATGTGCAATTTTCAGTTTACCTCCCATTAATGACCAATTCTGATCAATGGTCATTTTTTATTTCTGTTAGTAGTTATTGTTAAAGGTTTGATTGTATTTTATAACTGTACAGTTGTAAATAGAAATATGCTAAATAAAATAGGCTTATAGAAAATATGAAATGAATGCTACCACAATAATAATAATTTATTGAATGCATAAATTTCTTTTTCTTTCCCATGATAATTATAATGTTAAATAAAAGTATTATTAGTTTTAACTTAATTTAATAAATAAAAGAACATTTTGAAATTGAATTATTTTTCTATTATCTATTAAAACAGTAATTAAAATATTTCAGGATTTGGACTATTCGTTATAATCATTTTCATGACCAGTTAGTTTTAACTTCAAGCAGCGACTCTCGTGTAATATTATCGCGGGTTGCATCAATTTCTTCAGAACCTTTTGGACATTTAATAGAAGATGAAGAAACGTCATCGGTAGATGATGGTGATCAAGACAAGTAAGAAAAACTGCAAATTTAAATCAAATATGTATATTATTAATTAATATGATCATAAATTATTTTGCTTATTTATTTTTCATTGTTTGAAATATAATAGGAAATATATTAGAAAATTCCCTTGAAATTATTAAATTAATTTATTTTAAATCTATATATTTATTAAATTTTAAAATT